ATATGGAAGTTAGGAATATTAAAGGAATTAAAATATGAAGGTTTAAGCTGAAATGAAGTGATTTTCGAGCTCAAAATAGGATTTCTGGGCTAGGGGAATCGATACGCATTCAAGGGGAATCGATACCCATTCAAGGGGAATCGATACCCCCTCAAACGAATATGAATTTCCAGAACGCTAGAAGGGAATCAATACCCCAGGGGGGAACCGATTCCCCTATAATAAAAAAGAAGAAAAGAAAGAAGAGAGACTAAACTATCAATTTCTTAAATTGGTAGGCTATTAGAGGTTAATTTAAAGACTTAGGCATCTGATAATCATCTTGAAAATTTTGCTTATGTAGATATTGAGCCTAATCGAGTTCCGGAACCATCGACAAGTAGGATCAATCGAGGGAAAGACAAAGAAATCTAGGTGAGTGCATATGCATAGCATGAATATGTATTTTATTCAGTTCTAGACTTGTGATAAGTCTAGATTCAATATTTTGATACATGATCGTAGTTCATATGATGATATATGACATGAATCCATACCATATGCATTATGGGACATGAATATGAAAGAAAAGTTATATGAGTTATATGATAAAGGTATGAAAATAATATGTCTACGTGATATGAATTAGATAAATTGTGAAAGCCCATGTTATGTAAATGAGAACTATAGGTATAGTTGGCATGCCAAGGGTAGAGGGTCTATGTGGTCCTTCGGGACATATATGTATTCTTTGGAACATGTGTGAAGTTTGGTGAGACACATACTTGATCCTTGGCATATGTATATGATTCTTAAGGAATGATATGTGGTCCTTCGGAACATATATGTATTCTTTGGAACATGTGTGAGGTCTGGTGAGACACATACTTTATCCTTGGTATATGTATATGATTCTTAAGGAATGATATGTGGTTCTTCGGGACATATATGTATTCTTTGGAACATGTGTGAAGTCTGGTGAGACACATACTTAATCCTTGGCATATGTATATGATTCTTAAGGAATGATATGTGGTCCTTATGGACATTATTATATGGCACTACGGTGCAGTTCTACGCATCACTCCGGTGCAATTCTACGTGGTACTTAGGTGCAATTATATGAGCTGTGGTGACAGCATAGTGCACAACCTCACAATACTCACATACCTTAGGTTCTCTGTATAGTACCATGGGCTAATGAACTTACTAAGGCGAATTTATGAATGTGAATTTGATAAGTATATGTGTAAGAAACATGGTTTTGGTTATTGCATTGTTTACATACATCTTATTACTACAACCTCTCTTATTTTGGCAATTACTTTATATTTATTGATATTATTATTATATTATTGCCTCACTAAGTCGATGACTTAGCGTGTGAGTGTTTCACACGTAGGATCCGATAAAGTAGACGATCGAGGTTAAGCAGCTGGACAATATTACTCCTGCAACTATCAGATCAGAAGCAACTTAATCAGTAGGTCATTTTGTTATGAAAATGGATGTTGGCATGTAATTAAAGAGTTAAGTTGTGTATGCTCTGAATATTTTGGTAAACTTATATTACCATATGTATATTATTGTATTTTTCGTAATATAAGTTCAAGTATTTTACTATTATTTGTAATGAGTTGTGTTTTAAAAGTCAATGTAATATCTCTGACTCGTATCCGGGTTGGGATACGGGTTGGGGGTGTTACATATATTTCTCATGTTGTGAAGCGATAAAGAAAGAAATTTGTTCATCATTTCATACATGGAAGTCTTCACAGAAGAGGTATCCCCAGGGGGATAGATTTTTAGGATTAATTTTATTCACATGAAAACAGTGTAATTAATGCATGATAGAATTATTTAGAATGGATTCTTCTTTCTGCTTCTTGCTCTCAACATGTCTCAATGTTCAAGCTCCCTGTGAGATGCCCCAAGTTATGTCTTAGAAGAATGCTCATGTTCAAATGAACAACTCAATGCCTTAGGTTTTAATGGTATAAAAATGTTAATTTTGAGTCTAAAAAGATAATGGTGTGATTCTATTGACTCAAAGAAAGACATGGATATGACTCTTTGTGCATCGAAAAGATAAAGGCAATGTTCAAGAGTTTTAAAGGGTGATAATATCAAAATCTGGTCTTTTGGTAATGACCATGAGTTATTTTGGGTAAAGAATCAAGGTACTTTATTTTAGGTTTTTAGACAGGATAAGATAGGTCTACTCTTGTCATATGTCAAAAATCTATAACTCTTAAAGAATTAAAAGAATCCTCAATTCATTTGATATTCAAAGAACTAAAGATTAAAACTTGTTCAATTATTCCACCTTAAAAGGCAGCATAACTTTAGTCGTTTAAAATATTAAGCAAACATGAAAGATAAAAAATGTGTTCAAACAAGACAATGCTCCCCAATGTAAATGGTAGATGCAATGCCCTCTTCTTCGATTATCCATGCCCCTGAATCCACCAGGTTTTGAATCTTGCGCTTCAGTGTCTTACAGTTCTCAAAAGAATGTCTAGAGCTTCCCACACAGCTTCAACATTGTAGCCTTTTAGATATGGGGATTCTTTTATCAGATCATCCTGGCAGGCTGTCCTACAATCAGCTGATCAGGCTCTCACTGTACTAATTTCAATTGTTTTCTTTAATTGTTAGAATCTTGTTTTTATGTGGTGTCATGTGGTTAAGAACACTTCATTGAATCCTCCATGAAGAAATTTCATGTTTATGAAAATGTTTAAAAATGAAATGTATATGCAAAATGCAAAATGCAAAAATACATGAAATGTTTGAGGCATTTATCCTAAAATATGTTTGTTATTATAAATAATTTTTATTGGGACAAAAGTGTTTTATCTTTGAAGAGACAAAAATATCAAAGGTATATTCCGATTAAATCATCTAGACCCCGAACAGTTTCTAACAGGTTAACTAGTCCTCTACCTTTGTCTATAGTCGGTTGAATACCCTGTCAAACCGCTCCGGCTTCTCTGGCTGAACCGTGCAAGTGTTGAGATGCTTTTTGTACTTGTTTCAAGGAGTCTCGAATGACTGCATCTCTGGCTTTTATCTTTTATTGAATCAGTTCCCGACGAGTACGTCATTGGAGCCCTCCATCGAAAGGAAATATTGAAGTTTACTTGCTTGCTTCTTGAATTCCTCAATAATGACCTCTAATTTCAGCTGTCGTTTTGTTACCCTGCTCTTGTTGTCTTTAAAGGGACTCTCTAGGATAATAGCCTTTTTCTCGTCTTGCCCCTACAAATTTTGCCAACTCAAAAGGTCGACTTTTGATGTGCTCGGTGTAAATCCCAGTTTGTTCTGAGTCATTTGCAATGCAACAGAGTGGCATATTTTTTATTGCAGGTACCACACCTTCTTGGTTGAATTGTCTTGCAAATTGTCTCTCTGACCATAGCCAGGCCTCTGCGTTTTTCACCTCTTGTATTACAACCCTTTTGTCCATTAATGCAAATTATTTAGGTTTAACAAACACGTTTTAGTGGATCAACACCTCTTTTGAATAATGCAAATAATAAAAATAAAATGAAACAATGAAAGGAAAAAGTTAGTGAAATAAGGATAATAATGAAAATAAAAATCCTACCCCAAACGATATCTACCCCACATGCTTATTATTCCTACTCGGACATGATCTCTATCCCAGAAGTCGATTTTGAACAAGTCCTAACCGCAGAAATTTCTAGTTCACATGCTTTGGACAGAAAAATAAATCAGGAAATAATCTTAAAGCAGCCTAGGGTTTGAAATGAGGTTTTGGAGTGGGCTCTAATAGTCTGTATTCTCCCGGTTTAGGTTCTAAAAACGGTACCCGAGTTCTCCTTGCTGGTGCCCCTTGGGCTTGCCAGACCCTTAGTCCTAAACCCATTACAGGCTCGTGTGGACTAAGTTAAACTCGAGAGAAAACATTCCTTTATGCTCGCACGGTGAATAAATTCACACGAAGACATAAGTCATATGAATCCCGAAGGCTACTTGCTAGGCCCACACGGTGAATAAATTCACATGAAGGCGTCGCTTTTACCCCACTTAAATAGGGTTCGAAGCTCGGGTATAGAGCCTGAGATGAAAATTTTGAAAATCAAAAATCATTGAAAAAAACGTCAGTACAACTATTTACTTGAAAAATAATCAAAAGTAAATAATTTGAATCGAATAAATAAATTAAAATTTACCATTTTTGCTTAAAAAGATAACAAAAAATTAAGTTCAGCCTGACTCACTTAAATGTTCCCAGCAGAGTCACCAAGCTGTCGCGGTCGTCTTTCGGTTGGGCCCTAGAATTGGGCTTCGACTTGAATTGATTGGGTTAAAGTCGCCACCGACCATTTTGAAAACATTTAGGTAGGTCAGACACCATTTTACCTGATCTGCATTTTACCAGAAATGTCAGGTTCGGGAGTCGGTTACGGTCAAAGAAGGATTAGCACCCTTGAACTGTCCTTTCAGTACCAATTAATTTGTCGGTTATTTTTAATTGCGAAAATTATAATTTATATTAAAATTTTAAAAAATCAATTCTAATTGTTTACCTTTCATCGATTAAAAACAATTCCCTAAAAAGTCAAAAATATTAGATAAGAAACAATAAATATTAAATAAATCAAAATAAAAAATAAAATAAAATTTTAAAAGTAATAAAACAAACCGAAAAAAACCTGCGAAATGACAAAAAAATGTTAGTGGAAATAGAATAATAATTAAATAAAAATATTAAATCAAATCATAAATAAAAATGAATTAGGAATCAGATTGACAATAATCAAAGTTAAACATCAAAATTAAATTATAAATAAATGAACAATGTTATGTGGTACATCAAATATAGGGGACCAGAAGAAGAATTTAACTAAAATATTTGAAGGACTATGGGGGAAATTTACCCAGAAGAATCAATAAAATCAAAACTGTGATCTTCATTTGAGCGTGTTTTCATAAAGCAAATTGGCCTTCTTTACACAACCGGCCACCAAGGTTGCAGATCCGTCGAACTCTGGGGCCTCGAATCCCGTCATGGGGTTGCCGAAATGATGGAACAGCAAGCAGAAGCATCAATCGCTGACCAAGCTAAAACAGCAGGCCAGTTCCTCACCGTACGCGGTCACGGATTGATCGCAGATGAAATCCTATCACCTTCAAGGCTTCACGGACTTCATCGGAAGAAGCTACAATAGCCTGCATCTGCATTATTTGTAGCACTTCACTTGGGTCATCAACTTCTAGTTTCCTTTCCAATTGAAATTCTTGATTAGCACTGCCTCTTCCTTCAGATAATTCTAGCTTGACACTGGGGGTCACAACATCGATGGTGGACTTCGGCTTGACACTACTTGTTGCAGCATCATTAACGAAACCTGAGTTCACACTAGACATTCCCGATTTGTCTTGTGTGGATTCCGGTTTCACACAAGTTTCTTTACGTGTCTTAAGACATGGAAGAGAACAATAAGGAAGAAAACAAGAAGGGCACTTGTACTTGGACGGAGCTTGATTGAAAACCTCACACTGCCGTGATGGACCCCCAATTAATTTATCAATGAAGAACCCCCTCACGATTTACACACCCCCAGGACAACAGTAAATATTTCCTGTAGCGAAAGATTCTTGAAAAACCAGCCCTAACGCATCTGGAATCAATTCGTCCAGCATATGAAATCGCCACTCTCTTCAATCGAATCCATGCTTCCCTTCCAGCTAAAGCATAGCTAAACCTGAAACTGCAAGCACAGAAGATGAGTATGTTTGTTTTTGAGTTCCTGGAGAGGATGGATGGGTGCGGACGTTAGAGGGAGAGATGAATGAGTGGCCTTCCCCATCCCATTTTGCTTTCTGATGGCCCACTTAAACAGAAAAAAAAATAGGAATTTGTTTTTTTAGTTAGTAGGGGGGATTGTCTCAGGAAATACGATTAATATACGGTTAATATATGGTATTATCGAAAATATTAAAGGTTTAAAGGTATTATCAAAAATATTAAAAGATATTTAATAAATTTGATTTAGCGCTATTTATTATGTTGATAGATTAATAATGTTTTAGGTAGAAAATATAAAAAACTATTAAAAAATTTGGTAACCGGTAAACTTTGGTTATCGGTAAGTATCGATACATATATATAAGTGTCCATACTTATTTCACTGTGGAAAACATTAATTTAAGGTTATTTGTTTTAGTGAGTTTTAAGATATTAATTTAGTAATTATACACGTCTAATGATTTATTTTTATGTTACGGTATATATTATTATTAAATTAAAAATAATAAACATAGATATTACATATTTATTATTATCTTTGGTTAAAATTGTTAAATTTAAATTCTAGATAATATTTTATAAAATATTAAAATAATTAAATAATTTTTTTTGTGTAAATGAAATTATTAAATTAATATTGTAGGTGGAAAACATGAAGCACTATTAAAATTTTTTGAAACATAAATTACATAACTTTCAACAAAGTATAGATACATTTTTATAAAAAGTATATATACTTTCAACATATCAGGTAAATTTTACCGGTTTTATCATAATGTTACCTGATATGTTGAAAGTATCGATCCTTTTTATAAAAAGGATCGATACTTTACAATATAACAGGTAAAAATATGATGTAATAGGTAGCTCTTATATAATGTAATAGGTAGCGCTTATATAATGTAATAGGTAGCGCTTATATAATAAAATAAGTTAATTACTGAAAACATTTTCAAACACAATAACATATTAGATATCGCTTATATAATGTAATAGATAGCGCTTATATAATGTAATAGATAGCGCTTATATAATGTAATAGGTAGCGCTTATATAATAAAATAGGTTGATTACTGAAAATTATCAAGCACAATAACATATTAGGTACCGCTTATATAATGTAATAGGTAGCGCTTTTATAATAAAATAGGTTAATTACTGGAAACATTATCAAGCACAATAACATATTAGGTAACGCTTATATAACGTAATAGGTAGCGCTTATATAATAAAATAGATTAATTATTTAATTTGTTATTACAATATATTAGGTAAACGCCTAAAATATTATCAATGATAACATAACCAGATATTTACTGGAAACATTATCAAGTATAATAATGTAAACGATAAAAAAAATAGTCGCTACCTATTACATTAAACTACCTACCGATATGTTAAAAGTATCGATTCCATTTAAATAAATATCGACACTTTTAGAATTTAAAAGAAAAGCAGTAATAGCGCATATAAACATCAAATACAATAAAACATTATTATTTATTAACAAAATAATATTATTATTTTTAAAATATTAGAATAATTTATTTAATATTATTTATGTAAATATTATTATTAAAATATTATATCTATAATTTTATAAATAAAAAATTATGATTATTATATTTTATTAAAATAAATTATTATAAATTATATTTTTTATTTTTATAATAAGAATAATATATCATTAATTATATTATAATGAGAGAATAGTTATGTAACAACCCGGAAAATGGAAAAAAAAATATATAATTGTAATTTGAGGTTTTAATTAAGTTAATTGGTGAAATTTGAGGATTTAATTGGAAGTTTTAAAACTTGTAGCATATTTTAAAAAGTGGAGGAAATTCAATGACCAATCACTGAATATTTCCAAGGAGTGTCGGCAGATTTTTTTTCTTATATGCGTGCAAATTGATTCTGGTTTCATAACAGAACAATTTGTTAAGTTTTTACCCCACGCACCTCAACTTCCGACGACGATTCTGACACCGTCCGAATTCCGATCGTCGTTTTGAAAGTACCATCGTGTTCGTTATCGAGTCAGGAACAATCCCCTCAATTTAATTGAAGCGAAACGCTGCCAAACGTCGTGAATTTCAAGTCAAAGCATCGACGTTTTTTTAAGCTCAATCGCCTAGAAAATCCTAAATTCATCGCCGATCGTTGCTCCTTTTACGACACCTCCCGCACTATCGTGTTCCTTGTGCCGTTCCGAGTCCGTCGGTGTCATCCTCGATCTCCGTTGACGGCGGCGCGTGGGGAGGTGGATCAGTCAAAGATTCGGCCGAGTCGAAATCGAGCTCTCCGCCGTTCAAAAATTTGAACCGATCTTTGTAAGTATCTCGAAATCGCTCAAAATAATTTTTAGAAATTTTTCCGTGATTTTTAGAGCCCCGGAGGACGTCGCACGCGCCCACACGCGCCGCCGCAGGCGAGTGAATGCTGGAAACCGGTTTTGACTGGTTTAACCGGTTTTGAACCGGTTTTGACCGGTTTTGAACCGGTTTTGACCGGTCACGACCCGTTTACCCGTTTACCCGACCCGTTGACCCGACCCGACCCGTTGACCCGTTGACCGTTGACCGATGCTATTATGGGAATTAATTCGGCTTTGGTGCTATTATGAGAATTAATTCGAAATGGGTGCTATTTTGGTAATTTTTTTAAAAAAAGTGCTATTTGTGTAAAATGTTTGACAGTTTGTTGACCTCCTTTGACCAGAACTTTGACCGGCTTTGACCGGCTATTAAACGACCTTTGTTTTCGTCCACAAATACCTATCCTGATAGTTTTCGACGTCCCAAATCCGTTTTTGGGGTCCGTTTTACTAAATTCAAATCCGAAAGTCTCCAAATCGTCAGTCAAACCCGTTGACTTTATTTTTGACCAAGAATTCAAAATTTCGGAATGTCATACTTTATGTTTTTCGACGTCCTGAATTTTATTTCGAAGTCCGTTTTGCCAAATTCTGACCCGAAATTCCCGAATCGAGCTTGTAAACCCAAAAGGCTTAATATTTTAATATTTTGATTATTTAAATGAGATTTGGTCAAGGATTTACTCAATAAAATATTTTATGAAGGTACTCGTGTTTCACCTGAGCAAGGATCAATTAGGTCTGGTATTATCCGTTCGTTAGATCAGCCTGAACCGCGTACTACGAGAATTACCCGTAGGTTTCCGTATATTATTTAAATAATATTTAGATTATTTATATTAGGATTCCAATATGGATTTTTTTTCTAATTCGTAGGATCTAGCGCTGCAGCAGAACGTGATCGACAAACCCAATAGTAGGATTCCCTATCCGATTTCTCAGAGTGTGACAGGTGTGTTTCCTGACAGTGTTGTTTTACTGTTTTAAAATATTATTTGAATTATTTCAGAATGGTGATTATTCAAAATATTGTTATGACATGATACATGATATTTGATTTCTGAATAATGGTTACCGACATCTGATTACCGTATTTCTGTATATGATTTTCAAGCATGATCCATTTTCATGTTTTGATGGATTAATCACCATTTTTACTCGAATACATATTTGTTTATTACTGTCATTGGGGAGGAAAGAATTGTTGGAGGAAGAAAATATTGCAGGCTCCTTGGCTTTGTGCTCAGGGCCTTACTGGTCGTGACGGGGTGTATGGTTATGGGAACCTACACAATTTGTTCGTGACGGATGGGGGTAGTGTTCATATAAAAAAAACATGTTGCATAAATCGATTTTTATTGATAATATCTTATTAATATGTTTTTGTACGCTGTATGGAACACACTGGGCTTTTTAGCTCATTCTGTAAATTTTAACCTTTTTCAGATAACAGCAGATCGTAAGCTAGCAGATTTGGCATCAGGAGAAATCAACTACTTTATTTTGTACGAACATATATTTCTGTATGTTTTTCGGTTATGTTTGGTGACATGTATTTTATTATCGTTTTGGACATATCTGTATTATTAATATTATGTTCTATATTATATTTAACGTTCTATAAGTTATATATATAAAAAAATAAAAAAATAAAAAAAAAACCTCTGAATGGGATATGTGACCACTTAGGTTTGGGTCTAACTCACAGACCGGGTCTTGGGGGGTTACATTTGGTGGTATCAGAGCTTTCGGTTTTAAACACTCGGACTGTATATGGGTCCTAAACTTTGAATTTTTTTTAAAAAAAATTTCACCTTATGTTATGATTTAAAGTTTTATCGAGATCCCTGATGCTAATCTGACATATGTTTCAAATTCTTCTGTAGAGCCTTATAGATCCAACGATGAATACTGCTAGAGGTCGTAGGACAGGACGTGGACGTGGTAGAGGGCGAGTCACTCGACCTTCTGTTACGATAGAAGATCCGATGTCAGCACGTGATCCTCCTGTTCCGCAAGTAGATCCGACTCTTTCTCATGATGATCAGTTTACTCCTATGAGAGACCCTCCCATCACTGAAGATGAGGATTCTGAGATGAATGAAGACGCCATTAATAGAGCTATCTTCCGCATGTTTCAGAGAGCTGCTAGAGCCCCTAGTAACATGACTGCAATGGAGATTTCAAATTCTCTGGTTACTGCTGGTGTAGTACCATTCGAGGGTATTACTGGTGGACCTCCGACAGACGCTGAGTATTGGCTGGAGGACACAGAACGGATTATGGATGAGATGGACCTCAGACCTGAGCAAAAGTTAAAGGGGTCCCTAACTATGTTGAAGAAAGAAAGCTTCAGATGGTGGCAATCCATTTCTGGTAGTATTCCGAGGAACCAATTAACATGGGATCTTTTCAAGACGCGCTTCCGAAGTCGCTACATCGGAGAGAGATATCTGCAGGAGCGACGCCAAGAGTTTCAGAATCTGGAGCAGGGTAATATGTCTGTTATGGATTATGAGGTTGAATTCATCCGATTGAGCCGATATGCTCCTGGACTTGTGGACACTGAGACAGATCGATGCTTGAGGTTCGAAAATGGACTCAGGTATGAGATCAGGAGTCGAGTCGTTACCCACCGAGAGAGAAATTTTGACGCCCTGGTTGAGATAACCAAGACTGCTGAGGAAATAGAGCGATTGGGTATAGAGCACAAGAGAGATAATGATCGAGCCCAGAATCGATTCAGGAGGCCTTCTGGTTCTGTTAATTCTTCTGCACATCCTAGCAAGAGAGGCAGGGGTGATTCTTTTCAGAGAGGCGGTGCAAGTGTCAGACCTGTTGCATCTGGTGCTTCAACAGTTCAGTCTTCTAGACATGGTGGTTCTTTTGGGTCGCAACCCTTTCCAACATGTGATTATTGTGGGAAAAATCACTTTGGAGAATGCAGGAAGAAATTGGGCACTTGTTATAAATGTGGGTCTGGTGACCATTATTTGAAGGATTGTCCGGAGATACCTCATTCTGTTCAGACACCTGCTCGTACTCCCGCTAGTTCTCATAGTACAGTTCAGACTCCAGCACGGGGACGTACTCAGGAGATAGCACATGGATCAGCTAATAGAGGCCGAGCATCTCAGAGTAGGGGTCCAATCAGATCTGAGGCCAGACAACCTGCATTGGTTTACACTGCTAGACTTCGACAAGATCGAGATGGGCCTAATGTGACTGCAGGTACTGTTACTATTCATTCAGTTCCATACTTTGCATTATTTGATAGTGGCTCTACAAATTCCTATGTATCACATTCCGTTTCTGAGGGTCTAAATATTCCTGTTGAGAATACTGAGCGTTCAGTGATAGTTCAAAGTCCCTTAGGCCAATCCATCGTGTTGGATCGTATTTTTAGAGAGTGCCCTATAGAGATCAATGGGGAGATTTTTCTGGCTGACCTGCTGGAGTTACCCTTTAAAGAGTTCGATTTGATTCTCGGCGTAGATTGGTTGGACAAACATCGAGTAAATATTGATTTTGAGACTAAGAGAGCTGTTCTGAAGACCTCAGATAATCGAAAGATTGTAATGATCGGGGAACGACGTGGATTTCTGACGAATGTTGTGTCTACTTTAGTAGCGGAGAAGATGATCAGGAAGGGTTCCGAGGCGTTTCTTGCTTATATTTTGGACACTAGGAGATCGCAATCCGATATTGAAGGCATCCGAATTGTCAAGGAATTTCCCGATGTTTTTCCCGAGGAGTTGCCTGGATTACCTCCAGATAGAGAAGTCGAGTTTGTGATTGAAGTCTATTCTGGTTCCACCCCAGTTTCAATGGCTCCTTATCGTATGGCCCCAAAGGAGCTTAAAGAACTGAAAATCCAACTCCAGGAGTTGTTGGACAGGGGATTTATCCGACCCAGTGTATCACCGTGGGGAGCCCCAGTTCTCTTTGTCAAGAATAAAGATGGGACATTGAGACTCTGTATCGATTATAGGAAACTAAACAAGCTCACGGTGAAAACATATCCTCTGCCCAGAATCGACGATCTATTTGACCAATTTCGAGGGGCTTCTATCTTTTCAAAGATAGACTTAAGATCTGGTTATTATCAACTTAAATTGAAAGATTCGGATATTCCAAAGACTGCTTTCCGTACTCGATATGGGCATTATGAGTTTTTAGTGATGTCATTCGGGTTAACTAATGCCCCTGCTGCTTTTATGGATCTGATGCATAGGGTATTTCGACCTTATTTGGACCAGTTTGTAGTTGTATTCATTGATGACATACTGGTGTATTCTAGAAGTGAAGCAGAACATGAGGAGCATTTAAGGATTGTTCTTCAGACTCTAAGGGAGAATAAGTTATACGCTAAGTTGAGCAAGTGTGAATTCTGGCTCAGCGAAGTGACTTTTCTTGGACATATCGTCTCTGCTGATGGTATTCAGGTAGATCCGAGCAAAGTGGAGGCTATTATGAACTGGAAGCAACCCAGAAACGTCTCTGAGATCCGTAGTTTCTTGGGCTTAGCTGGTTACTACCGTCGTTTCGTTGAGGGGTTCTCCCTTATTGCAGCTCCTCTGACGAAACTATTGAGGAAAGATGTTCCATTTGTCTGGTCTGAGGACCAACAAGCTAGCTTTGAGAAATTGAAGACTGTTTTAACTCAAGCCCCAGTGTTGATTCAGCCTGAATCTGGGAAGGATTTTTCTGTCTACAGTGATGCTTCTCATTCTGGATTAGGATGTGTTTTGATGCAAGAGAAGAAGGTTGTCGCTTATGCGTCACGTCAGTTAAGGCCGCATGAGCGTAATTATCCTACTCACGATCTGGAATTAGCTGCGGTGGTTTTTGCTTTAAAGATCTGGAGACACTACCTCTACGGAGAAAAGTGTTATATATATACTGATCATAAGAGTCTGAAGTATCTGCTTACTCAGAAAGAATTAAATTTGAGACAGCGTCGCTGGTTGGAGCTTTTAAAGGACTATGATTTTGAGATAGAATATCATCCAGGGAAGGCTAATGTAGTGGCAGACGCCTTGAGCCGTAAGGCGATATCAGATGTCAGAGCCTTATTTGCCAACTTGAGCTTATTTGATGATAATAGTTTGTTAGCAGAGTTACAGGTTAAACCTACTTTAGCCGAGGAGATTAAGGCTAAACAACTCCTTGATAACTCGTTGCTTTCCATTATTGAACAAGTTAAGCAAGGATCGAGTTCGGAGTATACTGTGGACCAGGATGGTATTTTGTGTTTTCACGGTCGTTACTGCGTCCCTAAAGATGATGAGTTGAGACAGATTATTCTTCAGGAGGCTCATAATAGTCTTTATGCTATGCATCCTGGTGGGGACAAAATGTACAATAATCTCAAAGAGCGCTACTTTTGGACTGGTATGAAGAAGAATATTCAGATTTTGTGGCAAGGTGTTTGACTTGTCAGCAGGTTAAGGCAGAGCACCAGCATCCGTCTGGATTGTTACAGTCAATTAAGATTCCTGAGTGGAAATGGGAGCGTATTACGATGGACTTCGTTACTGGTCTTCCTCTAACTCCTTCCAAAAAGGATTCTATCTGGGTGATTGTTGATCGACTCACCAAGTCAGCGCACTTTATCCCTATTCGGGTTAATTATTCTCTGGATAAACTGGCTAAGTTGTACATTTCTGAGATCGTTAGACTTCATGGTGTTCCGTTGTCTATCATATCTGATCGAGATCCGAGATTCACTTCCAGGTTCTGGAAAGCTTTGCACGAGGCTCTGGGTACTCGTTTGAATTTCAGTACAGCTTTTCATCCTCAAACTGATAGACAGTCTGAGCGAGTGATTCAGGTGTTGGAGGATATGTTACGGGGTTGTGTGATTGATTTTCGTGGTAGTTGGGAAGATTTCTTGCCGTTAGCTGAGTTTGCTTACAATAATAGTTATCAGGCGAGTATTCGCATGGCACCGTACGAGGCTCTGTATGGCCGTAGATGTCGTACTCCTATATGTTGGACAGAGTTGCATGATAGAAAAACTTTGGGTCCAGACTTGGTTCGAGAGACTGAAGATACTGTCAGACTGATCCGTGATCGCTTAAGAGAGGCATTTGATAGGCAGAAGTCATACGCAGATAAGCGACGTAAGGATATCGAGTTTGAGGTTGGAGATCAGGTTTTTCTTAAGGTATCTCCATGGAAGAAGGTATTGAGATTTGGACGTAAAGGTAAACTGAGTCCGCGATTTATTGGGCCGTATCGTATTCTGAAGAAAGTTGGACCTGTTGCTTATCAGCTTGAGTTGCCTTCCCAGCTCAGTCGTATTCATGATGTTTTTCATGTTTCTATGTTGAGGCGATACCGTCAAGATCCAGATCACATCATTCAGGTTGATGAGGTAGAGCTGAAACCTGATTTGTCATATGAGGAGGAGTCTGTTCAGGTTTTAGAGAGGGATGAGCGAGTTCTTCGGAATAGGCGTATTCCAATGGTCAAAGTGCAGTGGAGTAATCGTAGCCCCTCAGAAGCTACTTGGGAGACGTTGGAGTCAATGGAGCTTCAATTTCCGCATCTATTTTCATAAGTTAAATTTCGAGGACGAAATTTCTTGTAGAGGGGGAGAATTGTAACAACCCGGAAAATGGAAAAAAAAATATATAATTGTAATTTGAGGTTTTAATTAAGTTAATTGGTGAAATTTGAGGATTTAATTGGAAGTTTTAAAACTTGTAGCATATTTTAAAAAGTGGAGGAAATTCAATGACCAATCACTGAATATTTCCAAGGAGTGTCGGCAGATTTTTTTTCTTATATGCGTGCAAATTGATTCTGGTTTCATAACAGAACAATTTGTTAAGTTTTTACCCCACGCACCTCAACTTCCGACGACGATTCTGACACCGTCCAAATTCCGAACGTCGTTTTGAAAGTACCATCGTGTTCGTTATCGAGTCAGGAACAATCCCCTCAATTTAATTGAAGCGAAACGCTGCCAAACGTCGTGAATTTCAAGTCAAAGCATCGACGTTTTTTTTAAGCTCAATCGCCTAGAAAATCTAAATTCATCGCCGATCGTTGCTCCTTTTACGACACCTCCCGCACCATCGTGTTCCTTGTGCCGTTCCGAGTCCGCCGGTGTCATCCTCGATCTCCGTTGACGGCGGCGCGTGGGGAGGTGGATCAGTCAAAGATTCGGCCGAGTCGAAATCGAGCTCTCCGCCGTTCAAAAATTTGAACCGATCTTTGTAAGTATCTCGAAATCGCTCAAAATAATTTTTAGAAATTTTTCCGTGATTTTTAGAGCCCCGGAGGACGTCGCACACGCCCACAAGCGCCGCCGCAGGCGAGTGAACGCTGGAAACCGGTTTTGACCGGTTTAACCGGTTTTGAACCGGTTTTGACCGGTTTTGAACCGGTTTTGACCGGTTTGACCGGTCACAACCCGTTTACCCGTTTACCCCCCGTTGACCCGACCCGACCCGTTGACCCGACCCGACCCGTTGACCGTTGACCGATGCTATTATGGGAATTAATTTGGTTTTGGTGCTATTATGAGAATTAATTCGAAATGGGTGCTATTGTGGTAATTTTTTTTTAAAAAAGTGCTATTTGTGTAAAATGTTTGACAGTTTGTTGACCTCCTTTGACCAGAACTTTGACCGGCTTTGACCGGCTATTAAACGACCTTTGTTTTCGTCCACAAATACCTATCCTGATAGTTTTCGACGTCCCAAATCCGTTTTTGGGGTCCGTTTTACTAAATTCAAATCCGAAAGTCTCCAAATCGTCAGTCAAACCCGTTGACTTTATTTTTGACCAAGAATTCGAAATTTCGGAATGTCATACTTTATGTTTTTCGACGTCCTAAATTTGATTTCGAAGTCCGTTTTGCCAAATTCTGACCCGAAATTCCCGAATCGAGCTTGTAAACCCAAAAGGCTTAATATTTTAATATTTTGATTATTTAAATGAGATTTGGTCAAGGATTTACTCAATAAAATATTTTATGAAGGTACTCGTGTTTCACCTGAGCAAGGATCAATTAGGTCCGGTATTATCCGTTCGTTAGATCAGCCTGAACCGCGTACTACGAGAATTACCCGTAGGTTTCCGTATATTATTTAAATAATATTTAGATTATTTATATTAGGATTCCAATATGGATTTTTTTTCTAATTCGTAGGATCTAGCGCTGCAGCAGAACGTGATCGACAAACCCAATAGTAGGATTCCCTATCCGATTTCTCAGAGTGTGACAGGTGTGTTTCCTGACAGTATTGTTTTACTGTTTTAAAATATTATTTGAATTATTTCAGAATGGTGATTATTCAAAATATTGTTATGACATGATACATGATATTTGATTTCTGAATAATGGTTACCGTATTTCTGTATATGATTTTCAAGCATGATCCATTTTCATGTTTTGATGGATTAATCACCATTTTTACTCGAATACATATTTGTTTATTACTGTCATTGGGGAGGAAAGAATTGTTGGAGGAAGAAAATATTGCAGGCTCCTTGGCTTTGTGCTCAGGGCCTTACTGGTCGTGACGGGGTGTATGGTTATGGGAACCTACACAATTTGTTCGTGACGGATGGGGGTAGTGTTCATATAAAAAAAACATGTTGCATAAATCGATTTTTATTGATAATATCTTATTAATATGTTTTTGTACGCTGTATGGAACACACTGGGCTTTTTAGCTCATTCTGTAAATTTTAACCTTTTTCAGATAACAGCAGATCGTAAGCTAGCAGATTTGGCATCAGGAGAAATCAACTACTTTATTTTGTACGAACATATATTTCTGTATGTTTTTCGGTTATGTTTGGTGACATGTATTTTATTATCGTTTTGGACATATCTGTATTATTAATATTATGTTCTATATTATATTTAACGTTCTATAAGTTATATATATAAAAAAATAAAAATAAAAAAAAAACCTCTGAATGAGATATGTGACCACTTAGGTTTGGGTCTAACTCACAGACCGGGTCTTGGGGGGTTACAAGTTAAACATATGTGTCGATACATTTTCTAAAAGTATCGACACATATGTTATAATTATAATGTAATAGGTAAATTTACAAAGTAACTGGTATACAACAATAACAAAACATGTAAAAATTACTAAAAACATCATTATTTTAACAAAACAGGTAAAGTGCTACCGATTTTGTTATTTTTTTACCGGTTTTGTTATTGTTGAACATTTTACCAGAAATGTTAAAAAACATTGATGTTTTAGGTAGAAATAATAATATTTTAATTAATTTTTATCGGTTTTGTTATGCCCAACAATAACAAAACCGGCAAAAATAGACTTTTTAATAATAAAATGAGTAAACATAAATTATACAAATTAATTTTAATTTTTTAGTTTGTAAGTTGCCACAATATAACTAATGAAAAAAAGGACATTGTATTTCTATTTCGATATTAGCTTTCAAATAAAAAATTAAAAAAATATATATATAATTACAATATAATTTTAAAAAATAATTATAATGAAGTGATGAAAAATAATCATAATTACAATATAATTATAAACATCAAATACAATAAAATAATATTATTTATTAATAAAATAATAATATTATTTTTAAAATAGTAGAATAATTTATTTAATATTATTTATGTCAATATTATTATTAAAATATTATATCTATAATTTTATAAATAAAAAGTTATGATTATTATATTTTATTAAAATAAATTTATTATAAATTATATTTATTATTTATTATAATAAGAATAATATATCATTAATTATATTATAATGAGATAATAGTTAAACATATGTGTCGATACATTTTCTAAAAGTATCGACACATATGTTACTTCAAAACCGATAATTATAATGTAATAGATAAATTTACAATGTAACCAGTATAAATATACCGATTTTATGAGAGAATAGGCTTATGTAATGTATCGACACAAATTTAAAAAGTGTCGATACATTTTGTCCAGAATGAATGCCAAACGAGGTGCACGCATAAAGTGTCGATACATTTATTAAAAGTATCGATCCCAAAAATATCGAAACCGATAATTACAATGTAATACGTAAATTTACAATGTACTCGGTAGAAATATATTGATTTTATGATAAAATAGATCTACATAATGTATCGATACATTTTAAGTTTGTGTCGATACTTTTTTCCAGAATGAATGTCCAACGAGGTGCACACATAAAGTGTTGATACATTTATTAAAAGTATCGATCCCATAAAATCCAAACCGATAATTACAATGTAATAGGTAAATTTACAATGTACCCGGTAGAAATATATCGGTTTTATGAGAAAATAGGTCTACATAATGTATCGACATGTTTTAAGTTTGTGTCGATACTTTTTTCCAGAATAAATGCCCAACGAGGTGCACGCATAAAGTGTCAATACATTTAAAATTGTATCGATCCCAAAAACATCGAAACCGATAATTATAATGTAATAGGTAAATTTGCAATGTTACTGGTATAAATATACATGTTTTATGATAGAATAGGTTAATATAAGCGCTACCTATTACATTATATAAGCGCTACCTGATATGTTATTGTACTTGATAATATTTCTAGTAATTAACCTATTTTATTATATAAGCGCTACCTATTACATTATATAAACGCTACATAATATGTTATTGTGCTTGATAATGTTTCGAGTAATTAACTTATTTTATTATATAAGCGTTACCTATTACATTATATAAGCGCTACCTAATTTGTTATTTTACTTGATAATATTTCCGGTTAAATGATATAACATAACCGGTCTAAATTTTAACTGATCACTTGTTTAATAGGTCACACCATTTTTTAGCCGTTTTTTAACCGCTGCACAGTAGAATTACCCTTAGTGGGTTGTTGGATAGTGTTTGTGAGAAACGTGGAAATTGGTTAGTGGGTTGATTTGTTTTTTTACTTCGACTTTAATGGGTATTGGATGTTGGCCCGAATAAAAACTGGGGTCTACAATGTGTGTGTGTATATATATATATATATATATATATATATATATATATATATTAGATGCCAAGCAATGCGATGCCGTATCCGATGAAAGAAACACTGACTGGCTATATTTCTTGGTGGAGAACAAGGCGATTTTCCCGATATATCACTGGTGAACAGTATATTTCCCGATCTAACACTCTTAGCAGTAAAGCGCGCCTCCTGCACCGCGCTATACGATGATTTGGCGCCACGTGGGGTATAGCATACACGTGGGTATAGCGCGGCCCCTGCAGCGCGCTAACGCCACGTAGGGATATAGCGCGGGGCAGGTACCGCGACATACCTTTACACATAATTTTATATAGCCCAGGGCAGGTACCGCGTTTTGTATAACTTTCCTCGCTATAAATACCATTCTCCACCGGTTAAGTTTCTCACATCTCTCTTCTCAACTTATAAATTAATACAACAATTCCGCCAACGAGTCAATAATTCTGGCAATCTTCTCATATTTTATTTAGAAGTTCGTGCGATTTTTCGTTATAAGGTAATTTTGTTATAATTTTTTATTATATTTATTGTTTATTATGATTATTTGAAAAAATATTATACTAATTATTTTCAATTAATTTTTGTGTTTGTAAAATTGGAAAGCGGGAGCATACGTCGAAATAGTTTTGCGGTGCAGGTAATAATATTAAATTATATTATTTAATTTATTTACGTTGATGTGTAAAATTTTTATTGTGTTATATGTTCGTTCATATATAATTTATTAAATCAGGTTTGTTTTATTTATTTTTTTTGCAGATATAATAGTGTCGCACTTATAAACTCAAATAATGGCGCGACTTTCAGCTATTGTTTATTATGATGGTGAAATTCGAGAAGATGAAACCGGCGTTGTTTTCGTATAAAATGAGCATGTTAAAATATCATTCAAGTGAAACATAACTCTT